CCCGTGATTCTGCTGCATGATCGGGAATGTTCTCTTAGACGTCAGAAAGTGGGCCTCTCCGATCGTCTCTCCTCCTCTCCCCCTCTCCTTTGAAGGGTTCTTCTTCTATTTATACTCACCATTCGCTCGTCCTGTCCCTTCCAATCCGCGCACCCGGGGAGCAGGTGGGAGTAATCATTCTGGCGTGTTACGGGAAGCCCGCCAACTGCCCCAGTACAGTACGCGGGAGTGGGTCGGCCGAGCTAGTATGGCGTGTGTCAGCAGTTGATATAACTTAGGCCTACGTGGCGAGTTCTCCTTCGACCCGGCGAAATGGGTCCCAACAGTTGTCCCCGACTTCTCGGCTTATCCATGGATGAGTCGGGGAGTCGAACCTTCGTCAATTTCCTGCAAAACGAGCGTGGTTATCCGGTTCCCTAGACCTTATACTGCTTATGAGCTGATTTAGCGCAGCGACCTTGCAACGTATCGTGAGGGGTACGGTACTAGTCAGGACGAAGCTAGGTTCTAAATCATAACATGAGACTTAGGGACTCATCAGAGCCGTGCTGCGCATCCCGAGGGAATGCGGTTCTAGCTGGATGGTCTGGACTTCCGAAGAAGTTAGATGGGGTATCGATTCCGGCCTCGGTGCATTCCACGAGGAAAGGTACCCTTAGCCGAAGGAATAGTCCGAAACAGACTCTCAACCCCGACCTTATTCGTTTGTCCCGAAGGAGCACGTTATTGGTCGAGGGAATTTTACTTCTGCGGAAGCGAGCCGCAGCGCAGCTCTTATTAGGTGTCAACTTCGATCTTATTCGTATCCGAAGGAGTACGTTACTGATCAAAGGAATTACGCTTCCGGAAGAAACAGACCGTGGGACGGTCAGACTAGGTACATATAGAGAGACTCGCCCAGTCTACGTTACGCATCTGATGGAGTACGCCGTTCGACCAGGGGAGTTTTAAAGTAATAGGGTCCTATCCTGACTGGGGAGTGCATCCATGGGACTGTGACGCTTGCTCAGGGTAAGGGGATAGGCGTTCCCGGGGGGAACTGATAAATTTGGCCACTGGTGACCATCTCCCCGGAGGGATTTTACTTCTTGCTTCGTGAGACACTAGACGAGAAGCCGTCTTACACCCGCTCATCGGGGTCATGAGCGGGGTTATAGCCTTGTATGATCGTGGAAATCGGCACAAGTCAACGACGTAGGCTAAGACACCGGCCCAAGGACCAGAGGTGTCGCCATTGGACATATGAATAGATGTTCCCTGCATCGTAGGGCATTTCCTGAGGGCGTTACCTCGACTCCCTTAGTGCTTGGACAGTCTTCGCGTTGTGTTTACGCGGAAGTTGGTGGGTTTTGGAGAACGTGCTTGTGACATACCCCAAAGGGGAAGAGGTCGGGAAAATATCAGGAAGAGAATGCCTGCGAGTCGGCGGCCTCAATTCCTGTTGTGCCTGAGTGGCAAGAGTGTCCTAGTGAGGAGCACACTGGTTTGCCGCTCGGCCCTTTGATGGGGACTGGCGGGGAAGACCTGGAGGTCTGAGAGGCCTGAGCTCTAAGATCCCGAGGGGGTCCTACTCCGGGAAACTAGCAAGTCCAAGGGGGAGCATACTCAGGGTGTGCGCAGTCCGCGGAGGGAGCTGGCACAGGGTGAGCCACATGGGCTTGTTAGACCAGTCCTGAATTACTTGAGGAATGGTGTCCCGGAGGACGGGCAAGTCCGCGGGGGAGCATGCTAAGAAAACGAGATTCGAGGGAGATTAAGGATACTACTGAGGAGAAGAGATGTTCGGATGATGCGCGAGCGGAAAATCGAGTAACCAAGTAAGCAAGAAATCAAGCAATCAGGCAAGCAAGAAATCAAGCAATTAGGCAAGCAAGAAATCAAGCAATCAAGCAAGCAAGAAATCAAACAATCAGGCAAACAAGAAATCAAGCAATCAGGCACACGAGCTAGGAAGTCCTTAGCGGTCGGTGCCTTGCTAGGGGCGGTCACATCCCGCATGAATCTTTGGGGCCTGGTGAGTGTGATCCACATGGCGAGCCTCTGGTGGTTCAAACCGCAGCGCGTCACCTCATACAGCGTGCGCCACTCCCCCGAGGACCGCCGATCATCCTTTCTGCTATGGCTGGCTCCTTTTCTCTCTCTTTGCATTAAATGCACGTCACTTCCCATGCACGGCTCGAGAGACTGATAATTATTTCCTCACTGACTTTTAGCTTTTCCTGACCAACACGATTCCTCTCGCGTGTCTCTTCGGTTTCTTCTCCTTCTATAAAATCGGAAAACTCGCAGTTCCGCGGATTTATTCTATTTTCGAAGCGAATCTCAGAACTTTCCTTCCTTGTGCTGCTTCTTCTCCTTTCTAAAACACACCTTTCTCCCTGTTCAACTAAGATGTCTGCCTCTAGTTCGTCATTTGGCGCGTGGCGCGTCTGTCACTCTTGGGCCGACGGAGAGGTACAGGACACTGCCAGAATGTCTTCAGAGCCGGTTCTAGCAGACTTTCCTTGGGCTGAGGGTGAGGCCGAGGAAATCGCCTGGGTGCCTTCGGCGTCCAACCCTGCGGATCGCCCTCCTTCTACTTGCACGCCGGACTCTCTGGAGAGAGAGTTCTCTCGGCCAACCTCCCTTACTCCTCCGGGCTCAACGCTAATTTTCCCGGTGAATGGGATCGGGCAGACCATCCTCTGCGGCGCTATCCACGACGATTACTTCCTCCACAGCTTCCGAGGCAACCTCCCTCGGATGGTGGTCGATTTCTATCGGTTCACTGGCATCTGCCCCAGTCAGCTCCACCTGTCCGCTTGGGGGCTCCTCTGTGCTTTTCAAGTCCTCTCGGACTTGTCCGGGGTCCCGGTCTGCGGCTCTACAATACTGCTGTCTTACCAGCTCTGGAGCCTGACCGCGGATGCCTTCCGCTATATCCTGCATACCCGGGACGGGTGCACTGCCCCTATCCTGGGTGACCCCTCCGGGAGCCACGATTGGAGGGAGCGGTACATCTTCTGGACGGTGCTGCCGGAAGTTAACGTCTAGCTTACCTGGATGCCAAGAGGTAAGATTCTTCTACTACCGCTGTCCTTCTTGTTTTTTGGGTTCGGTCCTTCGGCCATTTTCTTACCGCTGTTTCGTCTTCTCCTTTTTCAGGCTCCGGGATGTCGGCCGCTTCTGAGTGGGTCGACCTACACCGCTTGCTCGGAATCCCCTAACGGTTCCGGTCGTTCGACTTCCTGCTCTCTCCGCCGAGCATCGGGGCGAGCTCGCTCGTCCTCCCGTCCGGCATGAACCCGGACAATCTAGGTAATGACTCCGACTCTTCCGCCCTTGGCCTTGCGCTGGTACTTTGGTCTTTACCTGTGAATCCTGTCTTTGCAGGTTTCCGGAGTCGGATCGAGGAGGTATGGGAGGATTATACCCCTGACGGTCGCCTGCCCCTAGCGAGGTTTCTGCGGGCCGTGCGGAGGACGCCTGTCCAAACTCTGTGCCGGAGGCCCCAAGAGGACTCTTCCAAGGGGGAAGCCTCATCCCAGCCGATGCGCCGACGGCGCTTGACCAGATCTCCTGCGGTGAGCTCGACGTGGTCCCTGAGACCCTCTTCGGTCATTCCCGCTCACTACTCCTCCGAGTCGGCTTCAACCGCCAGTGGCAGGGCTCCTGTAGATTCTGACGCTCTGGAGTACATGGGGACCGTCGAGAGGCCCAGTGCCGTGCGAGCTGCCACTCCAGTCCCATATGCCCCGGCCTTACTGAAGGCGATGAGCGTTTCTTCGGAGTCAGAGCCGATGTTCGTGCCTCCTCGCCCGACCGCCTGCTCGACCCGCGAGCTCACCGACTGGCGGCTGACCGCCTCGGAGCTCACCCAGTCGCACCGAAGGGAGGTATTCTACGGGTTAATCGTTAGGGGACTCGTCCGAAGATTGAGACTCCTGTCTGGGTTAGAGTGTTGCAAGAGAGATTTCTACTCTTGAAAAGGGGAATGCAGCGGGTATAAAGGCGATGTTCCAAGTTAGGAACGGCTTAACCTAGTCGGCAGTCACCCGGGATGGACGTGGAGTCCGCCCGTGATTCTGCTGCATGATCGGAAATGTTCTCTTAGACGTCGGAAAGCGGGCCTCTCCAATCGTCTTTCCTCCTCTCCCCCTCTCCGTTGAAGGGTTCTTCTTCTATTTATACTCGCCATTCGCACGTCCTGTCCCTTCCAAGCCGCGCATCCGAAAGCAGGTGGAAGTAATCATTCTGGCGTATCAGAGGAAGCCCGCCAACTTCCTCAGTACAGTACATAGGAGTGGATCGGCCGAACTAGCGTAGCGTGTGTCAACAGTTGATATAGCCTAAGTCTACGCAGCAAATTCTCTTTCGACCCGGCAAAATAGATCCCAACAATTACATAAATTTCAGAAAATAACAATATAAAAGATATTAAAAATTATATACAAAGAATAATATGTCATATTCCTAATATTAATATATATATATATGATCCGACAGAGTATTTACTATCTTATTAAATAGTTTATTATTATTTTTCTTTTTCTATATAAAAAGTATAATATATATATTAGTTATAAAAATTTTACAATCATATATTATGAATATATATAAATACATTGAAATCATAATAATTAATATTTTCTATTAATTTAAATTTATTAATTTTAATGTTATCATCTACTGTATATATATTTTCATTATATAATTTTTTAATTTAACTTAATTAATCAAAAACAGTTAAATTATTTTAGAAAATTTAATATATCATATTTTTAAATCAACAATAGAAAATATTAATTTTTGTTCTCCTTGTGTATCAGATTTTTCATTTAAAAATTTTGTGATATCTTTAGATATTTTGTTTCTGGCAGAGACAAAATCAGATTAGATTATACTCAAGAATTAATGTACAACTCGACTTATATTTTTTTTGTCAGAAAAAAAAGGAAGATACCAAATTAAAAAAAAACAGAAGAAAAAACCACAGGGACTCTGCTTTTAAGACACGGCAGGAAAGTCAACCAGCGAAGCCCAATACAACTATACAAGGAAAGAGATGATTTTCATTAAAAATTAAAAATCAAAAAGACAAAAACCAAACAGGCAAAAAAACTTAAGTCTACTTCGTCGTCGTCTTCCACTAATTTTCTGGTTTTATCGAAGACTTTTGTACAAGTACATTGCAGACTGTCAATAACCCTTTCGTCACGGTATTACTTCAAGCCGCGTACTGGTAGACTCCAAAAGATCCTTCCTTTATGGTTTTTGGAATCTGGGTTCTCCGATTTTGAGGTAATTCTCTAATGGGTTCTCTCTGATTTCACAGTTTTTTAAAGGGTCGCTCTTTTTTCGTGGGGGAGATTTAGGGTTTCTTAATTTATGAAAAGTTTCAAGGTTTTCGGTTGTTTGCAGGGTCTTGAAATCTTGAAAACGAACATCTGGTTCTCTCATGGCGAGGTTATGTTGCTTCGGTTCTTCAGACTACGATGTAAGCAAACTCAAATCTCAATATCATTTATCTGGTTTTCTCTTTCCTTTTTTTCCTTCTTCCCAAATACGACTTATATGATAAAATTAACTTGTCAAATTGATTCTTGTTAAGCTAATTTTGGACTAAAATCGAATAAATTTTGTGGGTCAATGTGTAAAGGCTTCGGAAATTTGGTCCTAATGTGTTTTTAATTTACTTGATGAGTTTCAAAACAGGTCAAGTTTGGTCCTAATGTCTTGTATAGAATTTTTGTTGATTTGATTGTTATGTCTTTTATTTGACGATGTAGCTCATTACTGGGAGGGCTTCAACTAGTTCTGGTAAAGGGAAAAACAATGATGGCGAGATAAGATTTGGTTACAGCTTAGTGAAAGGAAAAGCTAATCATCCAATGGAGGATTATTACGTTTCCAAATTCACTAAAATCGATGGTAACGAGCTCGGTTTGTTTGCTATCTACGATGGTCATTTGGGTGAACGTGTTCCTGCTTATCTACAGAAACATTTGTTCTCCAATATCCTTAAAGAGGTCTGTAAAAAAAGTTTCCATCATTTTAGGCTTTTTCACACCATTTTAACATTCTTTTATGAACTAAGCCGGTTTTGTGTGTGGGTGTGTGTGTTCAGGAGCAGTTTTGGTATGATACTCACAGAGCAATAATCGCTGCCTATGAGAAGACAGACCAAACCATTCTATCACATTCTGACTTAGGCCGAGGTGGCTCAACCGCTGTAACCGCTATTCTGCTGAATGGACGGCGTTTGTGGGTGGCAAATGTAGGCGATTCCCGGGCGGTTCTATCTCGAGGAGGTCAAGCAATACAGATGACTATAGATCATGAGCCACACACTGAAAGATTGAGCATTGAGGATAGAGGAGGCTTTGTGTCAAACATGCCTGGTTAGTTACTCTTTAGGATGATAATAAAACCAAAATCAAGACTAAGTATCCAAACATCAGAATCTTGTTTTCTCTTTCAGGGGATGTCCCTCGTGTTAACGGGCAGCTAGCTGTTTCTCGTGCTTTCGGGGATAAAAGCCTCAAAACACATCTACGGTCAGATCCAGATGTTAAAGATTCATCTATAGATGATCAGACAGATGTTCTTGTTCTTGCTAGTGACGGTCTATGGAAGGTAAAAAGATACTTGTGTTTTTGATTTGAAGTGAGGGAAGCTATTGGTTATGGTTTATACGTTATTGTTGATAAATGTATAGGTAATGGCTAACCAAGAAGCAATTGATATTGCGAGAAGAATCAAAGATCCATTAAAAGCAGCGAAAGAACTAACAACTGAAGCACTGAGAAGAGAGAGCAAAGATGATATATCTTGCATTGTCGTGAGATTAAGGTGATGAAAGATCTTTTAAAACCACCAAGAATGAAATATTTTAGAGATGGAAGAAACTAAATAAAGAAGTTTGATAATGAAGAGTAGAAGATGTAAAAGGTTTTTTTTTATTTCTATTTTTTACTTGCTTTCTGTGTTTCCTCTGCTGTAAAATTGGTTGATCGTTTTTTCCGGATGTTTGGTGATTTGATTTGTTTGATTTGTGGTTTGTGTAAGTGAAAAGGAGAATCATATGATTTGGTGTATAAAAAACAACTTATCTTCTGCTTTGATCTGAGAAGATTACTACAAGTGGGAGAGAGTGTATATAAGCTATGTGTGCTTCTTGATCTCTGCTTTATAATAGTCCTCATGTTCTCTGAAATATTTACTTACATTTTTTGTCCACAACTTATATATTTAGTTACATTTATTTTTGGTTTTTTTATTATAATAAAATATACGAAAGATTTACATTACAAGTTATTTTTGAGTTTCAATTACATTCAAAGACACTTTTAACTATTAGTGGACTTTAGCTTTATTTTTGGAAGATGAAATCTCTTAATTATCTTAATGAAGGTGAAAGAAATTTTGTTTTCTGGCATGATGCTTTAAGGAAATTTCTTTGAAAATTATCTTTGCATTTCACAGCTAAATCGCAATACTAATAAATCAAAATCATGAAAAAAACTAAATATACAGAGCACACCATTATGTCCATGCCTCATGTCTACGTCTTTATATTCATGACTTCATTTCTACAACTTCATGTGCATGCCATCGTGTTCACGACTTCATGTCTACCAATGTATGTCCTTCCTGCAAATTGGTAGTCTTTCTAGTTCAATTAAGTCAAAATCAAAAGCATATTGAGATATAGAACATAATATTGTTGTTTCTTACCATGTGAATATATACAAACCAACACCATCATGTCCATGCTATTATATCTATGCATCATGTCCACAGCATCGTGTCCACAATATCAATGATGATATCGTACACACTATCATTGTCCACGCTGTAATATCCACGTTTTTATGTCCACAACATCCTATCCACAACTTCAATGATGGTATCATAAACACTATCATTGTCCATAAACCAACACCATCATGTCCATGCTGTTATATCCACGTCCTCATGTCCACAACATCGTGTCCACAACTTCAATAATGGTATTGTACACATTATCATTGTCCACCTGAATCATAAGACAGAAAAGCGTGAAATTTCTTAATTATTTAAAGATTTAGGGATTGAACAGAGATTGTATTCTTTATTTTTGGGAAATTAAAATTTGATAGAAAGAAAAACATATACGATAATTTAATAAAAAAAAAAGAAGAGTAATAAAGAAAGAATCTTATTGCCGTTTTGTCGAGAAACTTGTAAAGCTCGAGCATGAAATTAACAGCGAGAACCTCGTCCGGTTCGATCCGGAAATTCGACCTGTTTAGTAAATGGATCGGAGTGAGAATCGGATGAAACTCAAAATTCAGATCCAAAAGCATCGCAAAATTGCAGAAGCAGTTACTTGTGGCGATCAGAGACGATGCCAGTGATTCGCCGAGAGACAAAGCGGGTATATCTGAAGTCCGAATTCGGGTGGGTTTGCCAGAAGCTCGGGTCGCTAGAGCTTGCAAGAGAGCAACCCATTGAATACCTTGAAAAATTCTGAAATCGACGATGTGAATGTTGCTAGAGTTGTGTGTAGCTTCCAGAATTGCTTGATTTACCGTCAAGTGAGCCAATTTGAGTTTGGATGATGTACCCATCAAACAAGTGATCCCTAAATATGTGAGAGCGGTATTGTCTTTTCACGTAGACAAAGTCCTCTACTCTTTGTAAGTACCTTTACTTGTAACTGAAAGCTCATTAAATGTCTATAGATATAATATTCTCCAAAATATATATCATAGATTTCTAAAAATTTGACCATTTCTGTGGCACTAAGAAAATAAAAATATCGCACTAACTAGAAAATGGTTGGTTATGCAATTTTTTCTATACATTAATTATGTAAATTACAAAATTTGATTATAAATTTTAAATTCAGTCCTATACCTCTAATAAAATAGTGGTATTTTTTTTATAAATTATTATTTACGACTTTCAGAAAAAATGTAATGCATTTTTTATCTCACTTTAGTTGTTTACAAGGCTTGTGAATTCGGTTTGTGAATATTCTGCCAAAATTAATCGGATTAAATATGGTGTGGTTTGGATATCGGATAGTTTGGATTTTAATTTTTTGTTGCATTGAATTGAATTTTCTGATTTTTGTTAAATTTTGGTTAAAATGAACCGATCTGTTACCCAAATTTTATGATTGCGCTGATCATTTTTACTTAAGTAACTCGGTGCTAGGTAAAACTCCGAGGCCAAATTTTCTTACCTACTAATATCAGTTAGTGTTAATGTTTAATTATTTCCCAGAAAAAGAAATGCAAATAGTGTTGTACAGTTCAAGGAATCAAATGGGTTGAATAAAGCATTCATCTAAATTTTTACCAATTGTTATTTTATTTTATTTTGGACCATTTGTTATTAAAAATTGTTCTACTAATTCTACTTCAGAAACTGGAAAAAAAATGAGCAAAATTTTAATAGCCTTTAGTATGCAATAGAATGAGTGAATGGAATTGTTCCTATAGTTCTTTTATTATACTACCAATTATTTTTCATTTATATTCACTCCAATGAATGTGTAGTACTAACCATTTGCAATGAGTTATCACTATCTCTTGCCATGTCAATGAGAAGGACAATCAATTGGTAAAAGACAAAGTTGAGAGATTTCAATGTCAAGACAATAAGTGACGACGATACATAAGTTTCATTTCAATGTCGAAAACAACAAATATCCAAAAGAAAGAGAGAGTAACAAATGATAGATAAAGTGGTTTAAAGCAAATTCTTTGCCAACTCAAGACCTTCTAGCAAGAACAGAAGTTTAAACCATTTGTTGCCAAAGAAGTGTTATGGCTTCATTAACCCTACAAAATTCAAATATAAGAAAAATGTGAAAAAGAAGAAGAAAGTTATTACAAAAAGTGTAAAAAGCTTTTTTAGATTTGCTTTGCTTACCTCATCTTGTGGCTTGTCTCCTTTAGATTGTTCACCTATAAGACAAAAAGGTACATAAAAAGCAATCAATGCAAGTACACTAGTTTTTACAATAAAGTTCTTAAAGAAGTGGTTATGTCTCGTGTGTTGGTTATTATTATTACCTCCTTCCTCTAAATCAGAGGTCCATAAAGTGAGGTTATCTCTAAGAAGCTGCATGATAAGTGTGCTGTCTTTGTAAGAGTCTTCATTAAGACTATCCAGCTCAGCAATACCTTCATCAAACGCTTGCTTCGCCAAATGACAAGCCCTAACAGAAATTCAAGACAAAATTTCATTCAAAAACAAGATCAAGAAGTATATACAAATTACAAAGTCTAGCTTATGGATTTACCGTTCAGGAGAGTTCAAGATCTCGTAGTAGAAGACCGAGAAATTGAGAGCTAAACCGAGTCTTATCGGATGAGTAGGACCTAACTCCGAGCTAGCTGTAGCCGTTGCAGCCTAACAAAACAACATAAATTACGAACAGAACCCTTCTAGTAATAAAAAAGATAGAGAGAGAAAATGGTAAACATACTTCATAACCCTTGAGTGATTGATTAGCAGCTTCTTCTCGATCAGAACCAAACTTAAACTCAGCCAAGTATCTGAAATAGTCTCCTTTCCTATCAACACAAAAAGATTCAAAAAAGAAGCTGATTAATCTTTTCTTGATTTAATTTTTAACTTGATGATGAGGACTAACATCTTGTAGTAGAAAACAGTGGATTCTCCTGCAGTTGCGGATGGGACAAGATGCTTATCGATGACAGCTAAAATGTCGTAGCAGATCTTGGAGAGCTCATCTTCAACCTTTGTCCTGTAGTCTTTGATCCTCTTTGCGTTCTGTTCGTTTCCTCTCGATTCTTCTTTCTGCTCGATCGATGAGAGGATCCTCCATGATGCTCTTCTTGCACCAATCACATTTTTGTATGCAACAGATAACAAGTTCCTCTCTTCAATTGTGAGTTCCACATTAAGAGCTGCAACTTTCTTCATTGCTTCAACCATCTCTGTTTGAACAAATCGAAGTCAAATAAAAAATATAACTAAATTTGATTACCAAAATTATGAGGTTTAATTCTCAAAAGGGTCACCAGAATTTCGCAATCAAACCCTTTTAATCCCGGGGAAAAATATCCAGTAAGATCCGATTTTAAACTACATAGAGAACATTCAACAAATTCACAAATCCCTAAAATGAAAAATCTTTCACAGACAAATCGATGCCATAAGCATTAGTAACCAAAATTTTGAGGATTAAAACTACTAATTGTAAAACAAACAAAACAAATCCGTACATTTTCCGACAGAGATCCAAGGGAACAGAGTTGGAAGATTACAGAGAGATTTTGAACATAAACACACACAAAAAAACGAGAAAGGTTTTTGTTTTTACCATCGTATCTCTCTGCTTGCTCGTTTAGTTTCGCCAAGTACACTTGCTTCTCTCTCTCCTTCTTCATCGCGTCTTACTCTCTCTCTCTCTCTCTCTCTGGAAATTAGTCTTCGTTCTGATCAAAAACTCTTGTCACGATTATAAAAGAAATTTGGCGGTTGGGTTTCAGACAGGAGAAAGCTAAATCAACAGCTGAGAATAAGTCTCGGATAGTGGAAAAGCCTTGATTACTGACAATGACGAAATCTCAACCGTTAGATATGTGGTCCCCATGTCTCTTGTGTTTTCATTGGCTAAAGTCGTGGGAATCACACTTGTGTCCCCACTCTTGAAAGTTGAAACCCTCTCTCTGAGTCAGAGACTATTTCGCCATCTACCTTTTTTCTCCCGCCAATTGATTTACCATAAATTAGGGTTTACGAAGCTTAATCGTCTCCGTCTCCGTCTCCGTCTCCCTCTCTCTCTCTCTCTCTCTCTCTCTCTCTCTCTCTCTCTCTCTCTCTCCCAATTTCTTTCAACGTGAATCAATTGGAGATTTTGAGATTTTATGTTTAATCCACGCTTAATTTTGTAAAAACCCAATTCCAGAATGGCTGATGAAGCAGATGCTCTCTCTCAATTTGATATATCGAAGGAGGTACAGTTTCAGCTTATGGGAATTGTGATTTCGATTTATATATTCGGATTTTGAGATTGATTGTTTTAAGGATCTTGAATCTGAAATTAGGAAACGGATAAGCTTGTTTCGGAGGTGATCAGATTCGTACTTTTCAAGTCGCATCAAAACTCAGGATGCCCAATTAAACGTGAAGATTTGACTCAGATTGTTACTAAGAACTATCGTCAGCGTAATCTCGCGACCTACGTGATCAACGAAGCCAAGAGCAAGCTCTCGAACGTGTTTGGTTACGATTTGAAAGAGCTTCAACGCTCTAGGCCTCCTTCAACTGGTCAAACAAGGCTTCCTCAGTCACAGAGTAAGACAATGGTTACGAAAGCTTCTACTTTTGATCAACTCGATGCTTAGATTAGCTAAATGTGCTGTTGTTGTTGCATTCAATCTCAGGCTCTGTTGACTCTAAATCGTATGTACTCGTAAGCCAATTGCCTATAGAAGTGTTTAGGAAACACGTCGTAGAGGAAACAACGAGTCCTATGACTGGCTTCACATTTGCAGTTCTTGCCATTGTTCAGCTTGCAGGAGGTAAAATCCCTGAAGGTATGTATGCATTCTATGTGTAGTTTTGCTTCTGAATCTGCCTTTGTCCTGCATTGGTTTGCTAAGTAAAACGGATTTAGCTAGTTGCTAATTTAGTCTCTATGGTATCAAGATTAAAGAATTTGTTTGTTGACATGTTTCCTCTTGCATCAACATCTTTAGAAACGCTTTGGCATCATTTGAGGCGAATGGGACTGCACGAAAACGATGAGCATAATCCTGTGTTTGGGAACAATAAGCAGGCTCTAGAGATCTTAGTTCAACAAAGGTGAGACCTTTCTTTAGACTTGATGGTATATGGAGGCGAAGATATTGGATTTTCATAGTTCTTCTAAAAATGCTTACAGGTTCTTGCAGAAGGAGAAAGTAAATGGCCCTGAGGGTAGTACTTTGTTTTACGATCTTGCTGAGAGAGCGTTAGATGCACAAGTTAGCGAGAAAGTAAAAGATTATATCTCACAGGTACTGTACGAAGAACAAACATATTTTTTGTGGATTTTTGATCATCTTACTGAGCTTTGGCTTTATGTGAAATTGCAGATCCTGAAGAATGATGTCTCAGTTGTAGAGATTGATTAGTGGAAGATTTAGGCTTGGAGACTAACCAAACAGATTGGTGCAAGTCTTTGACTCTTGTATTTTGTAAGATTTCCTTTGATTAGGCAGAGATTGATACTGATTTAGTATTGACACAAAAAAATTATGAATTGACTTATATAATCTTTTTGCCATCTGATGACATATACAACTTCTGCTACAAAATATTCAGCTATGAATTAAGCCCTCTCCAACGTTGTTGGTACAGAGGAAACTGCTGATTATACAGGAAAGAGGCAAAACTTTAACCTGCAAAGCTGTAACATTTGCTATGTATTAGAGTTGTGAAGTCACTGAGAAGCTGAACTTCCTCTGTTCGATGAGCTCGAATCTCCAATTGAGACAGTGGCCAAAGACTTAGAGGCCCATGCTCTAGCGTTCATGGCTCCTCCCTGGAGATTACTCCTCTTGCAAGGCTCTTTAAGATGCATGCATAGTTGCACACCTCGGCTGAGAAACCCGACGGTATGTTCTTGCAGGCTCTCTAGACTCATGTTCTGAGCAATCCGTCTCCAAGCGAGTTTCGTAAACACGACGAGCGTAGGGAAAACCAAGTGGAGCAATCTCAACAGGACGAATATAACGGCAAGAGTCAGGTAGGTCTCTTGTCGAAGCATGTTCTCTGGTGATCTTGCCCATGTGAAAGGGCAGTTCTCTGGCTCGGTGTTGTTTTGGTTCCCGAGATTAGGAACTAATACACTTTTCTCGAGCGAAGCTTTATCCAGCGTTTCAATCCCTACAAATCCCATGAAAGCTCCTTGTTAGTTCCACTTAAAACGATCATAAACAACTAATAGCACAAACGAAGACTATCCACATCGGGGGTAAACACACAGAAGATAGAGCTACAAGAACATCTATAAGAACAAAATGTGTTACCGGTAACATCGCTGTAGAAAGCAACAAGAGAATCAAGCATTCGGGTTCCTCTGTATCGTGCCCGCATTGTTGAATTCAAGAGTATGAGAGTAGGAAACCCATGAACTCCATACTTGGATAAGGTGCTGCAACACAACATTTTAATCAAAAGATCACACAAAAACAGATAGTTTGAGAATAATCTTAAGGCTTCGTGTTAACCAACCTTGGCTTAACGGATGATTCCTTAATTGCAAAGTGAGGAATTGAGGAGTAGAGAGAAGAGATGACATCAAAGCTCGGTCTAAACGACCTTGAGAAAGGACACCATGATGCATAAAAGAGTAACGCCACATAGTCACACTTGTTCTTATGAATCATATCCAAAGCTATTTGCAACCAACGCTCATCACCCTTCACAACGAAAACAAACGCCAAGGAATCAACATCACAAATTTCAGCATTTGATAACAACTATAAGAAAGAAGAAAAAACAGATTTTTTTTGTTTTGATATAGCTGATATTCCCAACCCTAGAAATTGAAAAGAGCTCTCTGTATTCAATCAATCGCGTAATCTCGTAAAGATCGAAAATTTCTTAAGGCGTTACCTCTGTGACGGCGAAAAAATGAGGACGCTCGGCGAATTCATCACCAATAGCACAAGTCTGATCTCGAAACCCTAAAATGTAATCTTTAAGCGACCTCGTGACACAAATCGGACCCCTAACGGAGGAATTTTCGGCGGTAGTGAGCGTTAGAAGCCCGAACAGAATCCCCAACAGCAACAACAAGATCCCTTTCTCCATTAAAGAATACCCAAAAGCTTCTCCCTCTCCCTCCCCGTGGAGAATCACAGAATAATCCCAGAAAAAGAAATGTTAGCAGATTTGAGAGGAATTGTTCGTTGCCGACAAACCAGAAAAAGCTCGAGAAGTCGAATCAATGGAGATTTTAGCAGATAGCGGTAATGAAATTTGTGACTGGGGAGGTATTGGAGGATATATCAATGGAGAAGAAGCGGTTGTGGTTGCTGGGCACTGGGATTGTTCGTAGGAACAAAGCAAAGATTTTTTTTGGTTTACAATGTTATGACATAAAAAAACATCTAAACCGGAATTTCTTTTTTAAGTAAACTCAGAAATGGTATTTTATATCTGATTTCAGTTTCGGTTTAGGCTTTGCGTTTCTTATTGTAAAAGTAGTATAGTCAACAAAGGTTTTTTTCTTTCTTATATAAGAAAATTTAATATTCCACCAAAAAAGATATTTTAATATGTTGGGAAGTAAGAGAAAGACAGTTGAGAAGACTATCAGAATTAAATAGAGAAAAAATAATAACATAGGTGGAAACACAAAGCTTTTTGTTTTTCATGTCGAGCTTCTTCTAGTGAACCATTGTTATGTCAAGTCTCCGAGCCTTGGTGAAAGCTTGGATAGTGAGCGAAAAGATCCGGTTATCTAAGCGAGTTGTATGTTTATTTATGATTTTAAATTAGGACCATAGATCCAATTAATGTGTAAAAGATTTATGCAGAAGCATACAAACCAGCACATATCTTTATCCGGTTTAGTGGTGAATATGGTTTGATAGGATCTACAAATATGGTATGATAGGATCTACAAATATACATAGAGATCTGGGATGAGATCAACTTTTTGTCACTATTTAAATGCCTATGTAAACCAAACACATAACCTAATCCGGTTTAGCTATGAATACAGCTTGATATAATTTAAAAATATATGTAGAGATCCGTGATGAGATCAACCTCTCGTCACCATTCAAACTTCCAATTGATGTTTCCAAGCTTATACTTTCTCTAAAATATTTTCTCTCTCTAGAATTCTGTTTCTAACATGTCACTAATTGTTATATATTCACTAACATCAGACATATATGTAACATTGTGAAAAAACATTATGGAAAGAATATATGTTAACTTCACATAATTACCGGTTAACTAAACCGGTTTGATATGCTGTCAAATAATAGAAATAAACCAACCATAAACCAACATTTCCTACTTGTATATGTTAGGGAGCATAATAAATACAATAGAAATCTTAGAGATTAACTTTGAAAATCGTAACTTAGAAATCATACGACAAATGAATCGTGCAATCTCTACGAGTACATCTGCACTTGAAAGCTAAACTACTAAGACCTAATTTTCCATGAAAGTGTGAAGTATCGCAAACAAACGCTGCAGACTCACATGGTCTCAGATACATGTTAGGTTTTCTTCTCATCCATAATTTATATGTAGTAGTAGTAACAGATTTGAAAGACACAAGATTAAGTATATAAGCTGCACTCTATTAGTATGTATACCGGTTTCCGGTTTAGATCAAATCTCTAGTTCAGTTATATTTAGCTAAACCATGAGTATATATTTGTTGTACATACATTTTTCACATTTAATGAGAAATAAAACATTTGGTTTAATATGGTATCAAAGCGCAAAATACGATTTGAGCTTCTTCCTTTGTTGAACCTCTGATTTTTCTCATTCATGGCGTTTTGAGCTTCTGGATCTTCAAATTCATGTCGATTCCAGTGCGAAATCTTCGTCTTCTTTCGAATTTCATCTTTCTTTTGATATCTTTCGAGACTGCAATCATCAATTTTCTTTTCGCTGTTCTGATTCTTCTTCTTTCGATCGTTTGACCTCTGATTGTTGCCATTCTCATTCTTCAATTCACGGCACAGTCGTTCTTCATTATTATTCCTCTTTTCTCAGCTCCGATTAAGCAATGGCGACTCCTCGCGTCACTTGCGATACTCCGTTTCTGGATCAATACGAGAATCCGTATTTCTTTCACAGCTCCGATCACGATGGACTGATTTTGGTCTCCGATTGACTTACCTCTGGTGCGGACTTCCATACATGGCGACGATCTGTTCGTATGGCTCTCAATGTCCGTAATAAGCTTGGATTCATCGACGGTACCGTTGCAAACCTCCTGTTAATCATAGAGATTCTGGATCTTGGTCTAGGTGTAACGATATGGTTGTGACTTGGCTTATGAACTCGGTTTCCAAGAAGATTGCTCAGAGTTTATTGTTCTTATCTACTGCTGACTTGATATGGAACAGTCTTATCTCTAGATTCAAACAAGATGATGCTCCTAGGATCTATGAGATTGAGCAGCGTCTTAGTAGCATTCAACAAGTTTCAATGGACGTTAGTGCTTGCTACACTACGTTACTAACTCTCTGGGAGGAATACAAGAACTATGTCGAGCTTCCTGTTTGCACATGTGGTAGATGCGAGTGTAATGCTGCACTGCTTTGGGAGAAATTGCAACAGAGAAGCCGTGATACCAAGTTCCTGATGGGATTGAGTGATTCCTATGAATCCAGTCGCCATCACATCCTGATGTTGAAGTCGATTCCCTCAATAGATAAGGTCTTTAACATGGTCACTGAGGACGAGAGACAGAAATCGATACGACTAAGACCGAAGGTGGACAATGTGATTTTTCAGAATTCAGCTCCTTCTGACACCGAATCTATAACTTATAATGATCAGATGGAGAATTCTGCTTTTGCTACTCAACACAACAACAATTATCGCCCTAAACAACGGCCCTTATGCACATACTGTAGCCAATATGGTCACATTGTTCAGAAATGCTTCAAGATTCATGGATATCCTCCAAGACACAAGTTTCATAATCCTAATGGTGCTTCTGGTCAGCAGTCTAATAATCCGAGGGACTCTTCTGAGTTTGGTTCTACACCTCGTGGACAACACTCGTACAATCCGAGGGGTCAATTTCAGAGCACAAATCCGTTTCCATCTCAAGCTCCTCCACGGGCTAATGCGGTTGCCAATGTTATTGCTCCTCAAGGATACATGCCTCCTCAGATGTACATGCCTCCACCGGCTACACATCCCATGAATATTGACTACAGTCAGATGAATCCTGCCCAAGTTAATCATCTCATCCAACAACTTCAAAGCCATGTCCGCACTTCTGAGTTTGTGGTTCCTCTCCCCACGGCTTCTGTTACTAAGAATGGATATATGACACCTCAATCATCATCCAGTACCTTTTCTTTTCCTTCCTCTAGCCTTCTTTTCGAGAACAATTGCCTTACTTTTCAGCATCAATGTCTATCTTCTCTTTATAATTCTCTTCCAAGTGGTGCTTGGATAATTGACAGTGGAGCCACTACACATGTGTGCTCTGACTTGACATTGTTTAGTGAACTCTCTTCTGTAACTGGTGTTACAGTCTCTTTGCCAAATAGAATCAAAGAACCCATCACTCATACTGGCACTATGCATATATCATCATCTCTTGTCTTGCATAATGTTCTCCATGTGCCTTCATTTTGCTCTAATCTCATTAGTGTCAGTACTTTACTAAAGCATAACATGTATTCTGCTCATTTCTATTCTGATCATTGTTTGATTCAGGAGTTTACTCGGGGCTTGATGGTTGGTAGAGGGTCTCTCTTGCATAATCTCTATATTCTCGACACTGCTGCACCTATCTCATCGAACTTCTGTGGATCCTTGCTCGTAGATGGACATCTCTGGCATCAACGCCTTGGACATCCATCTCCTGCCAAGTTACATCATCTTTCGGGTATACTGTCATTGTCTAAGTCTAGTTTGTCTCATACTGATCATTGTTCCGTCTGTCATCTTGCTAAACAAAAACATCTGCCTTTTGTGTCTCATAATCATTTGTCTTCCTCTCCGTTTGATCTTGTTCATTTAGATATATGGGGTCCGTTTGCTATTGAGTCTGTTGAAGGGTATACATATTTTCTTACTATAGTTGATGATTGTACTCGTGTTACATGGATTTACATGCTCAGGAATAAAAGTGATGTTTCTACGGTCTTTCCTGCTTTCATTAAACATGATACTACTCAATATAGTTCTCGTATTAAAGCGATTCGCGACAATGCTCATGAGCTTGCGTTTAACACACTAGTTCAGGATCATGGCATGATACATCAGTTTTCTTGTGCTTACACACCCCAACAAAACTCAGTAGTTGAACGTAAACATCAGCATTTGTTGAATGTAGCTCGTGCTTTGCTTTTCAATCTAATGTTCCTCTTGCTTACTGGAGTGATTGTGTCTATAATGCGGTGTTTTTGGTTAATCGTATTCCTTCTCTCTTGCATAATAAACTGTCTCCATACGAATTACTTGCTAAGAAAGCTCCCGACTATTCTTTCCTTCGTTCATTTGGCTGCTTGTGCTATGTGTCTACTCTATCTAAGGATAGAAATAAATTCACTCATAGGGCTGAACCGTGCGTTTTCTTAGGATATCCTTCCGGTTTTAAAGGTTACAAAGTTTTAAATTTAGATACTAATGTCGTCTCTGTTACACGTAATGTCGTTTTTCATGAAACTGTCTTTCCTTTTCAAACATTGCTCCTGCTGATTTGTTTTCTAAGACTATTTTACCTTTGCTGATCCCCGTTAGTCTTGAAATAGCTCCTGCCATTCATCATTCATCACGTGCATCTCAAACACTACCACCTCCGCCTTCTCACTTGCATACACCACCATCTGCATCCACCTCTGCATCTCCATTACCATCTGCATCCACCTCTGCATCTCCATTACCATCTGCATTACCATCTGCATCCTCATTACCCTCTGCATCCTCATTACCATCTGCATCTCATTCTACGATTCCCTCTTTGTCCCGAGAGACTGTACCTCTGGTTACAGGACAGGCTCGACTACTTAATGCCAGACCAACACGCAAACATCAGGCTCCCAATTACTTGTCTCAGTACCACGGCTCCCTTGCCCAACTCTCTTCCGTCT